GGACAGGTGTACCTAATGAAGTCGCCGGTGAGTGTATAGGCTTATGGCAAGACTAATCTTCCCGAGTTTGTGAATTCAAAATTCTTGCGACCGTTCATCTAGCATGCAAGGTAAAAGTTGGCTCAGTGTTTCTGAAGACCTTCAACAACTATCCAGGAGTCAATTCTGTCAGCTTGAAATAGAGCAATTTGTAGTTGGAGCACTGTTGTTTTTAAGCAGTGTGCTGTTCCATCCTCCTAAGCATTTTCTAAGTCAGATGCAAATCAATTATCGACCCACTGTCCTTCTATATAGGAGAAACCAAACTAGTAGCTCTGGGCAAGAGCTACCTGTAAAGTGAGACCTCAAGAACAAAGGCCACATATTTGATGATAAAAATGTTCTTTTCGACAGAGAGGAAAGATGGTTTGAAAGAGGGGTAAAGGAAGACATCTTTGTTAAAAGGGAAAGACTTTTACTGAACAGAGGGGGAGGATTGTTGACCATGATTCTCCCACCTCATTCATCGCAGTCTATGTAGTTCTCATGGTTGCATCCTCCAAAAGTAACAACGGCCACTATTAGGGATAGGTACCAAAATTTAACTAAAGCATTCAGCGACAAATCTAGCAACAGTTTTCTGTCTTGTTTGAAGCTTTGACAACAACAAATAAATGCACAGTTCGCTCTGAGTTTAATGTCTTCATTATACATGGAGTGCAGCTGTGAGCCCCTCCTGCTTCAAAAGCACTGACATGCATGCTGTGCAGCAGCAGCAAACTCTGCCTGAGGTCAGAGGAGAAAAGAGACTGACTCGTCTATTTCCCCATTGAAAAGAAATCATGTATGAGCAAAACTTCTGATGATTTTGCCCTAGATTTTGCAAAGCAGGGAGTAAATAAAATGTCAACATAATCTTTTTTTGTTTTTCTCTGCAATCTGCAGCATGTAAATAGATCTCTGCCTGTAATTTATTTTACACACAACATCTGTCATTTCTCCACCTCATCCACTATGGTTTCCTCTGCTATCTAGTTAAATTTCACGATATAACTAAATTTATACGTAGGTTGAATTCAAGTGAAATGTTGATGAACAAATGAAACAACATTCCTCTCTCCAATACAAAATACTTTTTAGGATGCACTGTTTTAGCCTTTTCTGTTACTTAGTGGTTTATTGCGCTTTAGTAAAATATTACTTATTTTTTACTTTTAATTTATATTTTGTTTTTGTTACCAATAAAAAAAATTAAAAATCAGTCTCATTATTTATATTTCTTTTTTTATTTACCCTTTTCTACAAATAAAAAGACGTATAGATCAATAAAATACATAATCGGTAATCATAATAAGTAATACTGTTAAGAGTAGTAGCACTGACTAAATCCTTTATGATACCCATCCCTAGTAATTGTAGACAAATATATTTGTGTTCTGTTACCCTGTCCTCATTTAGGTGATAGTAATAAAATAATTAAATAAAAAGTTAGCTTACCCTGGACTCAGCTGGTGACTGTGGTGATGCTGGAGTTCCAGACAAACGTGGCTCATTGCAGACCGACGGTGGGGAACAATTACCTGCAGGCCGACACTAAAAAAACAAATAAAAAAAAGATTTAATATTTTTGTTAATAATCCTTGAACCCGGCAGTAACTCAATAACTAAGATTATAAAAATCCAACAGAAGGTTAAATAAATACAGATCTACCTGCTCCTCCTCTTCGTTCTCATTCCAGGTCTAGTACATGTAGAAAAAGTGTCAATTATTAAACCTATTTGTGAAGTTTTATAGTATTTACGAATTAGACAGCAAGATAATAAGTTAACTTACCTGAGCATCAGCATTTGAAGGCTCCCCTTCATTGCTGTCATCTGAAGGCAACGATTCGAGCTTAAAGGGAGAAACAATACAAAGTTTAAACTAATAAAAATGTTCTCTTAGGAAACAAACATTTATACATCTGGAGAAAAAAATGACTGCCCTTAAACTTTTACACACTTACAAGTTTATTGAGGTTTTCCAGTTGTTTGAGAAGCTGGGCACGCTGATTTAAAATTGAGGATCGCCTTTTGTTGCCGTCAGTCTGAGAGAAAATCAATACAGCATACGTGAAAATCTGGTGAACAGCGTCAGTGATGTTTTAAAGGGGTCATATATTGATTCTATAGGGTATTTGGTGCTGGTCCTTAAGGTCTCTGAATATTGTAACATTGGTTTGGCTGAAAATGGCATATTTGCTGTTCTATGAGCCCTAATGCAAGCGTGGTCAAAAGCCCCAGAATGAAACAGGTTTTCTTCCTTTTATGGCATGCTCATGAATATTTAGATTAGCTGTGCTCTGATTGGTTGGTTTACAACGAGCAAGCTGCCGAGCAAAGACGCATCGGAGCAACAAGCACTCACTCACTGAAACGTCAAATTGTTGATATAGTAGGGTGACCAGACTCTGTTTCCTGGACATGTCATACTTTTCAAAGCTAAAAAAATGTAAAGGGGGATTTCATAATTGTCCGGGATTTTGGTCGACTACAGCGCATCACGTTGTCGATGCACTGTAGTGCACCCCCCTCCCCAAAAAAAAAGTGTCCTCCTTTTCAGAAACCCAAAACTGGTCACCATAGATATGCTAGCATTGCTATCAACAGCTGAGCGACAGAATAATACTCACAGCTTACACTAACTATTGTGATGGCCTTATGGTTCGAACAGCCCCTCGTTTCAGTAAAATAAGTTTAGCAAATCCTGCTAATTTGCAGGGATCTTCTGATAGAGAAAAATAATCCAT